CCTGAGACATCCTCGCAACTCTGAGCTCTGAGATGCCGTGCGCAAGGTGGTCCGGCCCGTTTCGCACAAGACATTCTCGCAATTCTGAGCTCTCAGATGCTGCGCAAGAGGTGGTCCAGCCTGGGGGCCCAGAGGACCACATGTTACATATCCCCCTGGGACCCTGGGAGCCCCAGGAGGCCCCAGAGAGCTTCAGGAGGCCGCAGGACGCCCAGGACAGGCCCCAGGGGTCCACAGGAGATTCCCAGGAGGCTCCCAGGAGGCCCCAGGAGGCCCCCTATCAGAACGTGTCAAGTTAATACACATCCGGTGTCGATTCGTTGATTTTTCCTGCTCTTGGGCCCCCCCCCAATTTTTGGGGGCCCCGACGGCCTGGGAGCCCCAAGAGGCTTCAGGAAGCCCCAGGCGGGGTCCAGGAGGCCACAGGAGGCCCAGGAGGAAGCCCCAGGAGGTCACCAGAAGGTCCCAGGAGGCCCAGGAGGCCCCCGCAACTCGGAGCTCTGAGACGCCGCGCTCGAGGTGGTCCGGCCCGTTTCGCCTGAGACTCCCTCGCAGCACGTTTCGCCCGAGACATCGTCGCAACTCTGGGGTCCGAAATGCCGCGCGCGAGGTGGTCCAGCCCGTTACGCTAGAGACATCCTCGCAACTCTGGGTTCCGAGATGCCGTTCGGGATGAAGAGCACAAAGGCAGGGGGCGGCGGTGATTCGCCGTAGGCGTCTTCGATAACGCCAACGTTCCAATATGCGCCGATGATTTCTATCCGCCCCCGCGTGGTGTTCCCCAGATGCGTTCAGACAGCGCCGAGGCGCACCGACGTGACTCTGATACATCCCATTGTCGAAGCCCTTACGTGTGTGTACATGTTTACATACCTACATACATACAATATACATATAGATACACACATATGTATACACGCTCACATCTATATATAGACATATTTAGACACACGCATATACATATACGTTTACCCATGTGTATACATATGTATAGAAAGATATATGTATAGGAAAAAGGAGAGATAGATAAATGAATGCATAAAGGAAGAAAGAGTGGAAAACAATGTAGCGAGAGAAAGAGAGAGAGAGAGAGAGCGAGAGAGAGAGGCAGAGAGAGAAAGACAGGGAGGCGGAAGCATGTATCACTGTTCCCTCCTCGCTGCGATGCCGCTTCATGGACATGGCGCTGCCGTCTGAGACTTCATTACTGTCTGCCCAAGAATCGTGCTGTTGCTTCTGAGCCGGCTATCGTGTCAGGGCAGGTATTCATAACAGTTTACTTTTTTCCACCCGAATGAGGACTGCATGATGCGCCAAGAAGTGCCAGTTCACTAAAAGTACGAGTCTCGCCTACCCGCCACCACGCTCACAATTGAAAGTGTGAGGGGCGAGGAACACAACGCGTGCAGAACGCGCAAACACCATGGGCATAAGAGATGATGAAACACATGCCGCAAGAACATGTCGTGCAACAGGCGAAGCAGGATAGGTTCGATAACACGCATGCCTTTGGGCCTGGCTCCGCTTCCCTCTTCCTTCCTCCCTTCCTGTTCCCTCCTCGTTCTTCCCACTCAAATGACCACTTGGGCTCAGACCTTTTGGAGATAGCCCAGATCATTGGTACTGTCATGAGGACCTTGCGGTGCGGGTCTTCTTCTGTGCTCGCCTACAACCAGCAAGCCCTCATCATCACAGCAGCTGTGCCCGCTCATGCTTGGTCTGCTTCATTTGCCTGGCTGGAGTATACCGTGTAGGTATCGATCAGATCGTGCTGGAAGAACTCGGGGCCTTTTTTTTCTAGCCCCGGAAAGTGCAGCGCCAGGCCGTTCGCCCTGGTTTCGCTGTCTGGAAACGGTTTGGTAGTCTGCCGGGCCCCCTTTTCCTTTGCCTTTGGCAGCACGGACGGGTGTTCGTGACCGACTTGCCAGGGTCCGTGCTGGGAAAGCGTTCTGGGAAGCCACCAGGGCGGGGCCAGGCGACCTTCCGCGCCAATGCGTACCCTAACCTGTGTCGTTGCCCTCGTACGCCGCACTGAAGTCAGGGGCAACCTGCAGCCATCCTTTCCGCACCAAGGGCGGCATTATACCCGCACAGCACCATGACCTTGCGAAGCGTCTCCAGCAGATCTTTTTCACAAAGCGCTGCATGGTCGCAGGTGGTGGCCGCCTCCCTGATGTTTCCGCAACCCTCGGCTAGGCGGCAGTGGCACACAACATCCGATACAGCGCTGGCTTCATTGTGTGTGAGAGAGGCGCGCAGAAGGCCGCAGTGGAACCCGCCCGACATCGACAGCTCCAGCGCGTGGGCCAGCGAGTGCGAGAAAGAAATCCAGCAGCAGATGTAGAGCCGAAGATGGGAACCCAATGTCATCAACAACAATTTTGGGCTAGCAGCGTAGGAGGAAAACCAAGCAGCGGGAGCAAGCCGTGAGTCATACCGCAAGCCCAACGTATGTTACTACAGTGTTGGGGCCGCCGCATGTCAGAGAGAGAGAGAGAAAGACAGAGAAACAGTGACAGTATTGTATGCAGGGGCGAACAAATAATCTAGATTTTCCCAGCTAGTGCCATGGAGACGCCGAATGAGGTAACAGCACGCAGTGGCCACAGCGTGTTGTGCACAGCAGGTCAACGCGAGAAAATGGAGCAATGGTCGCAAATCATTGCTGGGACTTGCCGTGGCCGCCACTCGTGGGAGGCACGCAGACCCATCGCCGCATGGTGGCCTGAACCGCCTTCTCCTCAAACTGTTGCGGGTGAAAAAGGACCTGGGCGTCAATATCCGTGCGTTTCTCAGCAGCCCCGACGGGGGCGATAAAGTCGGGCCGCGACAGAGCGGGTGTTCCTAGACTGGGAAGCTCACAGTAGTGTGAGCGTGTGAGCAGGGAGAACACTTCGGGCACAGGTCTGAGAGGTGTAACTTCAAATGGCTCCCGCCGAATCTGGCGGAACATCACACGAGCCAGGTGGAGCAGCCCCAACTCGGAGATTGTTTCATCGACATTTGATTTCACGCAGCAGTTGTGAGAGAATGCATCTTGATGCAGTTGGCAGATGCCCAATCAAGACCTGCTGGTGCTCAGAAAGGCGCGGTCTGCGAGCAGCAGTGAGACCATTTGGCCACGTTCTCGCCGTATCTCTCATTGATGGCGATGTCAGATAGCTAGCTCTCGTACTCGTACACCCCTCTTCCTTCATTCCATATTCTCCCTGGTCTCTCCTCATTCCTCACATCAAATTACCAGGAACCCTGCGTTCGCCTCGGCGCTGGCTGCCTCCTCCCTCCTCTCAGAGCCCCGAATTGCAAGGATGTCGCAAGCAAAACGAGTCGGGGCACTTCTCGCGAGGCATCTCGGAGCCCAGAATTTGAAGGGAATCTCAGGCGGTCTCGCGAGAGGCATCTCGGCGCAACTGTGAGGATGTCTCTTGCGAAATGGGCCAGAGCACCTCGTTCGCAACATTCTGGAGCCCAGAACTGCGAAGATCTCTCACGCGAAACGGGCTGGGCACCTCGCTTACGACACATCAGAGCCTGACTGTCAGGATAGCTCCAGCGAAGCGGACCAGACCACCTCGCGCGCAGAATCTCGCAGCCCAAAGTTGCGCGGCACCTCGGCCCCCAGAGTTGCAAGGACGCCCAAAGTTGCGTCGATGTCGACGTCTGAGGCGGAACGGGCCTGACCACCTCGCGCGCGGCATCTCGAAACATAGAGTTGCGAGGATGTCTCCGGCGCACTGGGCCAGAACTTTGCGGGCCCCGGAAACGGCAGAACAAATGTCCCTAGAAAATGGAAACGGCAAAGAAACGGGACAAGAAACGGCAAAAAAACGGCTCCAGGATTGGAACTGGAGCCAGAACCGGTCAAAAAACGGCGACGGAACCGGTAAAAAAACGGCGTCGGAACCGGCAAACAAACGGCAAAACGGAACCGGTAAAAAAAACGGCCCTGTCGTTTCCAGGGTCCACTAAGGGCCAGAACACCTCGCAAACAGCATCTCTGAGACCAAAACTGCGGTGATGTCTCATGTACAATGAGCCACAGCATCTCAGAACGGGACATCTCGGAGCCCAGATGTATGATAATCTCTGAGGCGGAACAGAACAGAACAGAACACCTCGGAATCTTGAGGATGCCTCGTCGCGCTGGCACCCTGGCCAGAAATACCACAACAGAAGCCATGCCAGCAACTCCGTCTGGAGACAAAAGCGTTACTAACCATATGGTTATGTATGATGTTCGCATGATTGACTCGCCGCCCTGGCAGAAAACTTTTAAAGCCCATATTGGGGTTGTTTTGCGGCTCTCCGAGGTCTCTGTAGACGCATTAGCCTCTACAAAATCCTTATGGAACCATCTTCGACCAAAGAGCCCCAGAAATGCCAGGCAACCCCAATACGCCGTGATGCTTTACCCGCGTTGCTCAACTGGAGGGGGCCCTCGGGGTCGACGGACAAGCCCCTTGGGGTCACTACATCGACCGCTCTGGGGCGGCCTGGTAATAATTCCCAGCGGCCAGGGGTGTCATCCTTCTCCTACTGGCCTCCTAACATTTCCTCCTCCTCCGCCTTCCCTCTCTTAAACGGGCGGAACAGAAGGAAATCCCACTGCTCCCCCTCCTCCTCCGTCTTCCGCCATCCTCCCCATGCTCTGGCTCTTCCGCGTCCTCCCTGAGTCCCCATTTCCTGCCTCGCTTCCAGAGTAGAGCAGTGGATCCTCACGAGCCCCTTGGACGCACACTGACAAAGCACAAAATGTGCACCGCTCGGCCCGCCTCAACAACCCGCGACACCTCGGGGGTGAGCCCAGGCTCATGCTGCGCGTACGGTCGGGGATGGACAGAACCCCCTTTAGAAGGACGTGGTTGAATGAAAACGACCTCGGGCCCAAACCTGGCGGGCGCAAGCCTGGAAAATGAAGGCCGCGGCGCCCTCTCGAGAACCGAAAACGGACAACTCACTAATGGACGTGTGAGGGTGGGGTGTCTGTCCACCCCCGATACAGACGAGAGGACTGGAGGCGGCCAAGGGGTGCGAATTGCCGCCAGAAGGATCAGATGGCCATTGGCAGGCCGCCCGGGACAGAGCGCAGGCCGCGGGAGGCACCAAGCGGCGTGCGGGCCCCGGGGGAGTGCAGGCTGAAGGCCGTCCCGGTCGACGCCGACGCGTCGGCCGCGGCCCCGGCCTGGGGATCGTACAGCTCAGGGGAGCAGCGCTGCACCACAAAAGTTGGCGCCCCACCCACGTCCTTGTACGGCACCTGAGGTAGAGCGACGAGATCTATATACTAGAACCACGCGCGCGCTTCGCGCGCGCTTAGGTTCTAGTCATGGTTGTGTTAGGTTTTGCAGCGTTTTTTGTTTCTTAGACCTCTCTTGGGGTGCCTCTCGGAACGTCTTGGGATGCTTTTGGGAGCCTTGTGGCGCCTCGTGGCGGCATTTTGGCGCCTCCTGGAGCCTCTTGGGCCGGAAGCTCGGAATTCTACAGTGGCTTTCTCCCTCTGGGACCCCTCTCGGGCACGCCTTGGGGCTCTCTTGGGCCGTCTTGGGGCCGTCCTGGGCCACTCGTGCACAGCCTTGGAGCGCTCCCGGAGGCCTCGTAGGCCGTCTTGGGAGCCTCTTCGGACGTGTTGGACGCGGTGAAAACCCAACAGGCGACCATGCGAAAAGTATACGTTTTCCCATAGGAATGGGACCATTTTTGCTTCTTGGACCTCTCTTGGGGTGCCTCTCGGAACGTCTTGGGCTGATTTTGGAAGCCTTTTGGCGCCTCTGGGCGGCGTTTTGGCGCCTCCTGGGATGTGTTGGGCCGGAAGCTCGGAATTCGAGAGTGGCTTTCTCCTTCTGGGACCCCTCTCGAAGTCGTCTTGGGGTTCTCTTGGGCCGTCTTGGGGCCGTCCTGAGCCACTCGTGCGCAGCCTTGGAGCGCTCCCGGAGGCCTCCTAGGCCGTCTTGGAGGCCTCTTGGGCCGTCTTGGACGCGGTGAAAGCCCAAGATGCGAACATGCGAAAAAAACGTTTTCCCATAGGAATGACACGATTTTTGCTTCTTGGGCCTCTCTTGGGCTGCCTCTCGGAGCGTCTTGCAGGCTTCTGGGACCGTCTTGGTGTCATGACAGGCGTGTTGGAAGGCATCTGGAGCCATCGGAGCGCGTTCCGAAGCCGCCTGCGAACGATCTTGGACGGCGTCCGGCGGTCCGACGAGCCTCCGGGCCCCCCGGGGCCCACATTTGCGGTCGAGGTCCTGGCCCCGGGCCCCCGGACCCGGTGCGCCGTTATATGTATACATAGCGCCCGCAGGGCCGGAGCCAAGAGGCGGGGTCCCCCCCTTAGCCCCCCTCCCTTGGACCTCCCCTGCCCGAAGCCCCCCCCCTACCCCCCTTTTTGTCCGCCCCGCGGAAGCGAGCCCCCCCATCTCCCCCCCTTTTTCCGCCTCCGGAAACTACCCCCCTCCCCCCTTTTGCGAAGGTGGGGGAACGCTAAACTACTCCCCCCCCTCCCTTGGAACCCCCTCTGCTGGACGCTCCTCCCGCCCCCACCCCTCTTTGTGTCGCTGTCCGGAAACTACACCCCGCCCTCCCCCCTTTCGCACTCTGGAAGGGGGGGGGAAGTTCGACCCCCCACCCCCCCTCCATCCACCGGGGGGGGTCTGGTTCCGACCCCCCCCCCGCCAAGCGACCACAGAACGCGCTCTTTCATGTTTTTGTACATCTTTGTATGAGATGTATAGACGCGGAATCGCCGCCAACTCGGAAACGGGAATTGTCAGAATGTCTGAAGCGAAACGGCCCAGAGGACCGGATTTTAGTTGAGCATGCCGCCGTGCGCCGCTCCCTCGGCCAGACGGGAATTATATGAGAGCAGGAGCCCTGTCAACACAACTGTTCCTTCGGGGAACGAACCAACGACCCCGAAAACAACCCGGACATCGCATGCGCCCCCACTGGAGCCCGCACAACCTTAGGACAAGGCCTCTGGGAACCCAGAATTGCGAGCTTCTCTCCAGCGCAACGGGCCACACAACCTCTCCCGCGGCAGCTCGGATCACACAATTGCGAGGACGTCTCAAGCCGAACGGCCTGGACCACGTCACAAAAAACAGCTCGGTGAAACAATCTGGAAGACATCTCCAAATAACCCCCCCCCCAGCAAAAGGGAGGAGGGGGGTGGGTAGCTTGCGACCCCCCCCCCCCTTCAAAAGGAGGGCCAGGCTAACCTTCCGTTCCGAAGAAGAGGGAGGGGGGGGGTAGCTTGCAAGCCCCCCACCTTTGCAATGCACCCCCCTCTGGCGCACAGGAGGGAGTGGGGGGGTAGCTTCGGAAGCCCCCCCCTGGAAAGAAAAGCCCGGGCTTACCCCAGGCCCCGAAAAGAAGGGAGGAGGGGGGTAGCTTCTGAGCCCCCCCACCCTTTGCCCAAAGGGGGGGAGGGCGTAGCGTAGCTACGGAAGCCCCCCCCCTGGTCAAGGAGAGCCACGGCGAACCCCGAACCCCCCAGGGGGGGGAGGGGCGAGGTAGCTTCGAAGCCCCCCCCCTTCAGCTAGGGCCCCCCCCAGCTCAACAACGCAGACCAAAGGGAGGGGGGGGGAGCTTCGGAAGCCCCCCCCTTGCCGAAGGAGGGGGGGGGGAAATAGCTTTAAGCTGGGGCCCCCCTGTTCTTTTTCCCGGCCCTGAAGGCGCGCTATTTACACCGCTCCTGGGCCCAGCACGGGCCAGGCCTGGGGCAGTGGATCTGTATATATAGATCTCGTTGCCCTATGGGTCGGGCGTCGGCGGGACTCGGTTTAGTGGGACCTGGTTTAATGATTCTTATCCGGGGACGCCGCCCCCGCCCCATCGCATTGACCAAAGCTGCCGCCACTCGAAGAAACACCAGCTACGGCAGACTTGGTTTAGTGAGTCTGCTCTGGGTCCCAATCACTAGACGGCTCCCCTTCATCGGGGTCCTGGCTATATTCCGAGGACCTTGGGAACTGAGAGATACCGCTGCCGCTGCTCCCTGGACCTCTCCTGGGGCGCGTTCTGACCAGGATGCCGAAGCAAATCCAGCCGTGGCGACGAGGGTCCCCCAGGACGCCCAAACAGGCAGAAACAATGGAAGGACATCGGTGTCGGAGTGCTTCTCTCCACTGAACACCTCTTCACCCTTCGATGTCCTCAGGACGGGCTCCATCCTGGATGAACAGGCCACGACCTCGTCGCAGAGCCCCTCCACGGAGGCCTGCTCCTCTAGCGCCCGCTGGCACGTGCTGCTCAGGTGAACCTGCCCTGTCGGGGCGGTGGACTCCAGCAGCTCCAGGGTCGACAACAGATGGCCGAACAAATGGTACCGCTTCATCTCCACGCCGACGACACCACCGACGCACTCGCCGGTGTGGACGCCGACCCGACAATCAAGAGGGATGTCTCTCTCGCTTGACCAACTTCTTACGGCTTCTACAATCTCGACCGCGAAGATGACCACGCTGATGGGCCTGTAGACCAACGTCAGCGGTTGGGCTGCCTGGCCAGCGATGTAGGCGTCGCCAACCGTCTCTATCTTGCAGATTCTGTAGATGTCACTCAACCTGTCGAATCGCCCAAAAAGGTCGCTGATCAACTCCACGACCTCTGTGGCTGAACGTGCGCTTGCCAGCGCCGTGAAGCCCACGAGGTCAGAGCAGGCGATGGTCGCTTGCCGGTAATAATGAGAACACCCCACCCTCTGGTGTAGTATATTCGCGCTCGTGGATGACGGCCGTCTGCTCAGATCGATTGCAACCAACGGGGGCATCAACTGGCTCAAGATCGAGTCCATGCGCTGCTGCGCTACCTTCACCTGGCTCTCCGCCTTGTATCGCTCTCTATCTTGAGCTTCATCTACGCCAGCAATGTGGATGCCCACCAAGCCCATGATCATCGGCGGCGGGCGAGGGGGGGAAGTGAGAAGGAAAAGGCCCTCTCAGAGGGCGGCGGGACTTCGCGGAAGCCCTCGCGCCTTTTGAGAAGCTGCCTGCGTCTTCGGGGAAGGCTCAGAAAACTCCTCAAAGGCCGCGGGACTTCCGAGCCTTTCGAGAAGGCATTCTCCTTCTCATTTCCCCCCCTCGCTCGCCGCCGAGATAAGCATGCTGACAAGCTGAACGGCGCTCGCGAGGTTGCGAGCCGCGGGGAAGGCCGCGGCGAGGACGAGCGGCACTCCCAGCGAAAAGGCTACGAAACAGACCGTGGGTCCCTGCCGCAACTGCAGGTCCATGACGCTCGTCCCGTACCACAGGAGGAACATGAGCTGCCACAGGGGTATCCTAAGGGGAACGACGAAACTGGCATAGACATGACAACTCGGAGGTCCGCGCGGATTTCTTGGATCCGCGCTGGACCCCCCGCCCTGGCGCGCGGAGTGCGCTAGGGACCGCGCCGGAGGCGCCGCCAGGGGGCCCCAGCGCCGATCAGGGAAATCCGCGCGGATCTCCGAGTTATTATGTTTATGTCATTACTCGTTCCCCTAATCCTGAGGGGCTCCCTCCGAAGCTTGTCCCTGGCGTGCGAGGCGCTCAAGTCCAGACTGAGCTCGTCGACGAGGGGCACAACGAGGAGGGCGTACGCCGCGAACTGCAGGGTCAGCAGAGCGCAGGCGTGCGCCAGCCGCCACAGCGCCGCCGTATTTGGCGACGCGAGGATCCAGTCCTTGTTCTGCGCAACGGCGCGCCAACGGAAGATCAGCGCGAGCAGCACGGCGCGCATGGCCAGGAACATCCAAATTCGCCTCACGCCGAACACAACGCCCATGCGGGGCTGCAGCAGCTCCGCCGCAAGAGCCTCCGCCGCGGTGAGCACTGTGAAAACGATGGCGAGCCGGTCCGAACGCCGCCCCAAGTGACTCGCAATGCGGAAGTAATAGAACTCCTGAAGCCATTCGATGTCGCTCGCGTCGCCGCCGCGCGGATCACCGCGCACAGCCTTCACCAGCAAGCGCTCGAGCCTTTTCAGACGAGCGCCCCAGATCCAGGTGCAGGCGCTGATGCGGCCAGTCACCGGATCCTCCTGCTCCGCGCTGCGCTCATCCTCGGAGTCGGAGCCGTGGCTGCTGAGCGATATGATGCTGTCCAGGCTGCCCCGCCTGGCCTTGCGGAGCTTGTAGGAGCGAATGTTCTCCCAAACGTCCCCCGCCGAGCCCTCGCTCAGCCTGTCCAGGAGGTACGTCTCCACCTGGCCCTTCCCCTTCATATCGACCTTTCCCCTGGAGCGGTACCGCGCCCAGCTGGGCATGCACGCCCGGGTCTCCTCCCCGAACTGAAGCTCGCCATCGACCCCCTTCTGCATCATCCTGGCGGCGGTGTTCATGGTGTCGCCGAACAGGCGGAACCTGGGCAGCTTCTGGCCGACCACGCCAGCGACGACAGGGCCCGTGTGCATCCCCATTCTGAACTGGACGCTGGTCAGCGGCTCGCCCATGTCCCCCTCCTGCGACATGAATATGGCCTGCGCGGCCACGATGAGGCGGTTTAGCGCGTCCTCGTGCATGTCACCCTCTTTTGAACGGTCCTGCGGCTTCACGCCGACGGCGGCGACATACTCCTCGCCCACCGTCTCGATCTTCGTCACCTGGCAGTCGAAGCATATCCGGTCGATCTTGCCGAAGATGATGTTCAGGAAGTCTAGGAGCTGATCTGGCGTCCGCTGGTTCATGTGGCCCTCGAAGCCAGAGATCAATAGAAACAGCACGGACGCCTTGGGGATCTGTTCTGCGGTGGTGGCGCTCGGCTCCTTCAACATTCGTACAATTATGTGGTCTGGGAGGAAATCCTGGAGCAAGTCGAGGAGCTTCTTGGTAGTATGAGCCTTTCGGTGGTAGAGCAAGTCCATGTACTGCCGCTGGACTTCCATCTTGTACTTCCTGTAGGCAGCTATCACGGTGGCGGCACCGAGCAATATGATGGCGACGAGAATATCAACCCAACTGTAATATCCCAGCTCGGTCGCGTATAAGTAGATTGCAGACGCCGTGAGGTATCCCGCCACAAATAGAGCCACGAACAACAGCATCGCCTTCAGCTCGGGCACTATGTGTGGAGACATGCAAATTACGGTTATGCCCATCACCGAGGACGACAAGCCCTGTGGGCCGCAGCCCTGCATGTCGGCCCGCCACCAGCGATTGCCCCTTGCGCACTGCAGGAAGAGCCACTGATCGTCGCACGAGGGCTCCTGGGGGAAGAAAAAATACGTACACATAAACTGTCGGAAGCCCGCGCGGATTTCCTGGATCGGCGCTGGACCCCTCCGCGCGCCAAGAAAGTGAGTCCTCCAGCGCCGATCCGCGAGATTTGCGCGGACCTCCGAAAGCTTAGATGCCATTGTGCCGCTTCTGGAGGCCTCCCAGATGGAGTCGGAGTAGATGAGGTCGGAGGATTGCGCCGCATCATCGATGCATCGGCGATGCATCGGAGACGTCGGCGATGCATCGGCGACGTCGGTGCGGAGAACATCGGGCTCCACATGGAGCCGCATCGCCGATGCATCGGCGATGCAACTCGATCCTCCTCCGACCACATCGTCTCGAACCCCATTGGAGGCCTGGATTCTTACGAGCGGCGAACGAATCCACATCCGCACCCTCGCGGTCTGGGGAGCGCGCGGATACGCGATCGCACGGATACGGGGAGACTAAAAAGTACCGATGCCGCTACTCCCCGGAACTCTCCTGGGGTGCGTTCTGACTAGAATTTCGAGGCGAATCCAGCGGCGGCGACGAGGGCCTCCCAGGAGACTGAAAAAGGGGAAAACGGGCGAAGGGTAGCGGTACGGGCAAATTTTTCTCATCTGAGGATACGTTGCGAGGCGGGGCATGCAGGGCAAGACGCCCCGTCTTGCGGGGTGTCGCGGCCCCAGGGACCCGGAGTGGGCGGTGCCGCGGCTACAGAGATGTCTTTCGCCCTGTGACGCTCCGTGGGCAGGAGCGGGAAGGCCACCACGTAGAGCCTTCGGTGGCAGCTCGTGGGCGCCTCCCGCGCCATCTTGCCGGCCCTTGCGAATCGACGCTGGCCGACGCTACATCGACGCGAAATCGACGCTGCAGCTGGCCGACGCTGGCCGACGCTAGCCGAAGCTAGATCGACGCTCCTTCGACGCTGCATCGGCGCTCCCTCGTCGACTACCCGACGCCAGCGCACACGACTGCACTCCAGAGACGGGATCGCGAAGACACGCAGACAATCTTGATCGTAAGGCTGCCAAGGGAATTGGACGCCCACTTCGAAGCTTTTCGAGCGGGGTGCGGCCAACGAGAGTGGCCAAGGATGGACCGAGGAGGCAAGGATGCAAGTGTACCCTTGGGAAGGTTGCCCATCCTTACTATGCGGCTTGACTGTTCAGTTAGACCTAGGACAGAAAAACATCCTCCAAGAATATGAGACCCTCCGACGGCCAGAGCACACAGAACATCCAAGGGTATCCTCCCCCGGAGGCACGGGAGCACCCTCCCCGGACCGACCTCGACCTCATACCCCGGTCCGACCGTACCAGACTCCCACGAGTTGCTACCGAAAGATGGGAAACCAAAAACTACCACTCCCCAGACCTCTCCCAGGGTGCGTCCTGACCCGGATTTCGAAGCAAATCCAGCGGTGGTGACGAGGGCCCCCAGGAGGCCCCACAATAGGGCTGCAACAAGTGACAGAAACATAAAAACTTGGAGGTCCGCGCGGATTTCTCTGATCGGCGCTGGACCCCCGAGCGCGCTGGGGGCGGCGGCGGAGGCGCCGCGGGGGGGGGGGTCCAGCGCGGATCCGAGAAATCCGCGCAGACCGCCGCCGAGTTTTTACATGTATGTCATTGTTCGTTGCCCATACACAAGGGGAACACGAGGGGAGGGTAGCGGTATGGGCACCCATTCCTCCTCGGCACGAATGTTCTCCGAACGCTGCCGCTTAACCACCCCTCCTCCTCCTCCTCCCTCCTCCTCCTCCTCCTCCTCCTCCTCCTCCTCCTTCCTCCTCCCTCCTCCTCCAATCTTTCCTCTGAGAACCGGGGTAAGATGGCAAAAAGAATTAAGATCTCATGATTACTCTGCTCAGGGAGAGCGGAGGCGGGATGAGCCATAGATAAGACAAGTATCCGTTAAGCAAAGCTACTCTATCAGGAATGTGAAGGGAGGAGGCCGGCTGGCCTACGACCGACGACGCACGACGGCCGAAGGCGGGCGCGCTCCTTTTCTCTCCTGCCAGCCGAGGTCGGCTGGTTTGAGCAGTTACGCAATAGCTGCGGACGCGGACAGTTCATTGCATGCAATCTAAGTTATGTTCTAATTTAATATAAGGCGGAAGGGAACGCATTTACTCCCCCCGCGGCGGGCCGCGTAGAGCCCATCCAGCCACAGCACCCCCGGCCTGTACGTTTATACAACCACCGGAGCCAACCCCAAAAAGCTTTTACGGCTCAACGGTGGCTGCCAGGGGGCCAAGGGCCGAAGAGGCTCGACGTTTCCTACCGATATTTAAATAATTGCTCTCCGCTGGGCCGGCTTAGCCGTCCAGAAGAGAGGTCCGCGCCCAACGCGCTTAGCGTGTGGGTGAAGTATTTTGTGCACGCCTGCCGCGGACGGAGTCACGCGCGCGCCACACGCAGTTGAGGTCCGCGAACGGATTCCACGAACCCTCTCGCCTGGGCGGCGCCCGAGGCGGCGGATTTGAAGTCGCCGATCCTCCCGTCTGTACGTCCATGCCACGAGGCGTGCGAGACCGCCCTCTCTCTCTGTCAGTATTTCCAACCAGTGCCGCCTCTCTCGGCGGGAAATGATGATCATGCTCCCACTTTGACAACCAGGTCCAGTAGGGCAAAGTGTACCATTCATCGTTAGTAAGCCACGTGATCCTGTTCCGGTGGAGGTGATATCCAACAAGGATTCCATTCGCGTGGGTCGGGTAGGACTGGTCAGGGTCGTACGTGGAGCCGCGTCCTGCGGCGCTGCTGGCAGCGTCCGAGGCAGCGCCTGTGGCGGCGTCCACCGCCGCGGGCAGCACAAGGAAGGCCGGCGGCATCATCGGCGGCCGCGACAGAGGCATCATCCATGGCTGCATCGCGCGCGTCGCAAATCCGACCGATCCCTCACGTTGGGATCTTGTAGGTTAGCTTCTCTGGTCGGCACGGCGGAGCCGGCGACAGAACGTGGGGAACCAGTAGCCACCTCAGACGCCTGAGCATCTGAGATGCCAGGTAGAAGAGACGGCGTGCGAGACAAAGGTCTAGCCTTTGGTCCAGCAGGCACACGTGGCCCCACGATCTCGGCTTCGCCGTCGTGCTCAGGGTTATTATCCCTATCGTGCATCAATTGCAATATGCTTCTGGCAGCGGTAGCCGCAGCGACGCCATATAGTCCGCATGCAGTGCGTAAAAGACCGTCTTCCTTATCCTGAAGACTGGTACCGGGGTCAGGATACTTATCCTGTAGCCAAGTTATGGCCTCCTGGATTGTAGCACCATGGCGACGGACGTCATTCTGCACTTTACTGCCCATCTTGTGGGCCCATGTTTCTATAAAGTCGTCAGTCTCAACAGCCGCGCGAATTCGGCAGTCCAAAACATATGTGTCGGTTCGTTTCTTTGAGTCGTGCTCATCGTTTCGCCCCGGGTAACCAATGAAGTGGCCCTCCGATATGAAATAGCTGATTATCTCACGAATAATTGCGAACATCCTTATGGGTCTAAGGCCCAGTTCCATGTTTTGTGTTGGTACTAACCAATTGTCATCCACTATTTTCTGGATGATCGCCGGGGTCGCAGAGTCTGGTGTTCCAGTCAGGGTAACCCTGCCGGGTGTAGTAGGGTTTGTTCCCGCGTGTTCAATTATGTAATGAGCGGCAACATCTCGAACTTCTGCCCCGAACAATCTTATTTTGATCAGACGGTCCTCATGATGAAAGTATACATGTCCCTCAGGTTCATCAAGTGTGAGGAGTCCGTCAGTTATCGACGCAGCCTTAGGCCCGCTGATCACTTTGAGGTCCAGATCCATTTGTGTCTGTTCACGTGCCCTCGCGGCTGAGCTGGAGGCACGTCGCAACGCGGGAACTATGAGACGATGGTCCCGACACATGCTGACCCGTCTTGCAACAGAGTGAGAACTGCGAGTCGGTCGCGCTCGAAAAGTGTTCTCCCAGGCGACCGGTAACCTCGCAGGAGGGTGATCGTTGTTGGCGTTGTTTCCAGTATCTTCAGGGAATACGCTAAACCATGGTATGTGAAACTGTATGGCATCATCCACTGTGGCAAGTGTAGGAACAAAGAGGTTTGCTCTCCTCATGTTGTTGAACCATTGTGCCCAGCCAGCCCTAGGAGTGATCAAGTCATCTGGTTCATTAGGCCAGTGAAATGCTGTTAGTGCTGGGCAAGACCTAGGGCGGGCATGCTGATCAAAACCAGTCGCCCACAATTTAGGCCACCATTTACTCATCAACGAGGTTCGCCTCTGTACACTTAGGGATGAGTGTTCTAGCCACGAAATGAATCTTTTGACCAGTGGCCTTAAGTATTGAAAGAAAGGAGCATGTCGCGCCGGAGGCTGAGCCTCGGCGTTCTGGGGTCCAAGCTGGAGAGTTTTCTTGCTGGCTGTTACCAAATATTGTGCCGGCAGCCGCCATTGTGACAAAGTTGGTTTCCCATTTTCGCTCCTGCTGATTATTGTTGGCGACGTTTTTCGCAACGTTGGCATAAGCTCGCCCTTGTCTTCTTATCCGCGCGTCCATGTATACACGACAATCCCATCACAGAGTTCCTTCATCCTCCACAATTATCCAAATACCATGTGCCTCAAGGGGTTGCGGAATAGTTTTGTACCTCCATGTCTGGGTCATGTAATCATGCGAAACCCTATCTTTATATCGGATTGGGCATTTACAGACAAGACAAGTGGCAAAACCCGTCCTCACCCAGCGGTAACAGAAACAAAGAAATCCCCCATCGTCTTCCCACGGTGTCACGGTGTCCAACCTTGTATTGTTATCCCAATTCATGATCAGCCTCTCGTCTGTATGAACCCAAGCAATAATCGACGCATTGTCGAAAGTGACCTCGTATGAAGACAATTCTCGGTCACATAGCGCCGTCCAACGCATCTGACTTGCCTGCCTCACGAGGGAGACGGCTTTATCGATGTCCGTGAATTTCGGCACCTCACGGGGCACCAATGCCCCGTCTGGGCATACTCTGCACGAGAATCGGGTGAGCACTCTGCCAGCGACAACAAGGATAATATCCCATTGCTCATGATGCTTGAGATTGGGAAGACATGGCCAAAGACGGTGTATGTCATTCACATGCAAGGTACCCACCTTAGGCAGTTCCCCATCCTGAGCCCGGTTGCCCATAATTACTACAGTCTTTATGGTGGGCGCTTGTCCATATCTCCTTTGGCTTAGCCAAAAAGGAAATCCGAGGGATCAGGCATAGTTGGGCAGTTGTGTGCCGGAAGTAAACGCAATAAATCGTAGTCTGCGGCATGGCACAGCCCAGAGTTGCCCTTCGGAAAACAAACATTTCCACTCGTAGATTCCAAAAACGCCTGTAGGCTCGTAATATGTAGAAGGGATCCGTGACTCCTGACTTGGCCAGGGTCATACGGGACATACATTATTTCAATCGAAAAGGTAAACGTTGAATGTCCCTGACATGCCCTATAGAATATCGGTATGGGAATTTCTCTGCCATCGATCTCTCGTAAGGATCTTTTATTGTGTTTGTCCCACAGAGCGCGGATAAGTGCCCCAACAAAATTGCGGCTGTCTTTGGGGGAAATCCCCAGGACATCGATTGCCCCTGCCGGCAACACAGCTAAGCTGTGTGCAGCCAAGGCATATGATTGAAAAGTAAAACCGTCATCATATAATTTCTGCACCAGGTCTCCAAAATAGACCCAGCCACCTGACGATCTAGCATAGTCCGAGCAGTGCCTTGCGATGTATACAGCACATTGACATATTATTTTG